ACAGTGCGCAGTCTGCATTCAAACGTGACCCGGCTTGTTTACCCACAAAAGGATCTATTTAAACCCATGGCCTTGACCTGACATCTTGCCGTACAATGTAATGTATCATCTTGCCGTACAATGAATCAATGTATTTTTTTGACACGTGGCAGACATAAAAACAATATTTTTTTCATTTCATTTTTTTTATCTTTTTGTTAGCAGTGAAAATTTGAATCATATTTGCAACAACCTACATTGCACTACCAGTGAAAGCCTGAACATCTGAATGGCAGATTAACCCTTTGTTGCTCTGGAACTAGATGGTTGATAGAAACAAGGTAAGGTCATGCCCATTTCTTTAATCTGTAGCACAATGGGTCAAGCAATGGGATATTTAGAAGGGAAAAGCACAGTACAATAGACTGTTTATCACCTGTTAGGATGGAATTCCCTTGGTTGCCTCTAGGGGGCCATGGGTCACATTTACAAATCTCCCCTCCTTTGTTAAAACAGGCTCCGAGCGCAAAGCATTGTGGGCTTACATTGCTTTATTATATTAACCCCCTATTATCCTAGTTGCTTGCCATTGTTCTAAAACCGAAAGATTTATGTGTTAGAAAGATTACACGGGACGTGTTCTCTTTAATAAAAAGTAGTCTTTAATGAAACACCTAGCTATCTGTACATGGGAAGGATTTCTTTTTTTACAATGCCCATCACACTTGTCTGTTATCAGATATGTAATGACATTAATGCTCTATTTGATGCATACAGAAATATAAAAATAGCAACATATAAACTGTTCATTTATTGAGGGGGGAGCAGATATTGTGAAGCCCTGTACTTGAATATCTAAAGCTTATTTGATAAGGCAAAACATACAGTGTAAAGTGTAGCAACCCACAGCAACAAATCAAGATTCATTTTCAAAGGTCTAACTACCATAAAATAAAATCTGATTGTTATAGGTTGCTGCACCTTATTGAATAACCTTACTAAATAAGCTTCTGATGTTTGGAAATATTTTATCTCAAAGTCAAGACACCTGTGTGAGACTCCTGGGATGGAAGCTGCCATTCGCAGACTTTTGGGGTGCATACAGGTTCAGCTTTACTGCTTAGGAGTAGGAGTCATATAGTGACATCTTTCATCTAAAGTGTCTCACACAGGTTTTTGTTGCTTCTTACCAAGTTCCCCGTGAGTGATCATTACATTTGTGCATTTATATATACACACAGATTTGTACTCACACATGGATATCCACATATTTACAGAATACACAGGAAAAAAAATTTGGTCCATACAAGTGCTGTACAGGTATAAAGGATTTACTGCTCTGTATCTGAGAAGGTGTATAAAAACAATAAACTCTGTTTTATATTCTATACAATGCTGGCCCATGTCTCTCTTCCATCAGGGACAGGTGCTCAATAGTTCTCATCAAACAGTGTTGTGTATCTACAGGTAGTGGGACTTACTAATATAGATAAAAGAGCATTGGAGTGCAGTAACACATAGCAAACAACAAGAAATCAGCTTTCATTGGCCCATATATCACCCACATTTTCCTAGTAGTGTAGCCAGTCATTGTTAGGGATTATCGGGGAGTGTAAGAGCCAACTAGCAAGCAACCCTTATGAGTGCAGAGCTGACCATGGTGATCTTCTGGCGTGTTGGTAAATGTTTGTGACTAATATCTCCTTTCACTAGAAAAAAAAACCACACAAAACACTTTGGCAATGAATTTAGGGCACGAAAGTATGTACGGTATTGCATGTCTTACATGATTTCAGGAATAGCATATCTTTTTTGTGCCCTTTCTCTGCCTATCTGTGCCTATCTCTATGTAGACAGGCAACAACAGTCAAAATATCACAATTATTGGAAGCCCATGTGCCCAGAGAAATAAGGAAAATTACAAGCAGGGCTGTTTTAACAGATGGCACCACTGTAAGTGCATGTGACTGGCAACCTTCTTTTCTACAATACCCATTTTTTTCTCAGTTATGGAAATTAAAAACACTGAATCAGAATGCCATATTGGAGACAGCCTGCTGTTTTAAGCTACCGCTAGATCTGGAGATAACACCTTGAGCTACCACTAGAGTTTGAGATACCACCTTAATCTACCATTAGATCTTGAGATAGCACCTTGAGCTACCAAAAGAGTTTGAGATACCACCTTAATCTACCATTAGATCTGGAGATACCACCTTGAGCTACCACTAGAGTTTGAAATACCACCTTAATCTACCGTTAGATCTTGAGATAGCACCTTGAGCTACCACTAGAGTTTGAGATACCACCTTAATCTACCATTAGATCTTGAGATACCACCTTGAGCTACCAATAGATTTTGAGATACCACCTTGAGCTACCACCAGATTTTAAGATACCATCTTGAGCTACCACTGGACCTTATGATACCATCTTGAGCTACCACTAGATCTTGAGCTACCACTAGGTCTTAAACTACCACCTTGAGTTACCACTAGATCTTAAACTGTTAAGAAATCTTACAATCTATTACCAAAATGCTTTTAGAAAAAAAAAGAAACTAGCTCCAGGAAATTGAGCAACAGAGAGTCATGTGACCCTGTACAATGGGCTTTTTAAGCTGGTGGATTAGCATAAAGGTCCAGAGATAGCCATACATGGGAAGAATAAAGGAAATAAATAGAAACTGTTATAATTTGGTACCCTCCTAAGTTCTCTAAAGCAAAGATGATCCTACCTGAAAGACCTATCAAACTCCAAAATGTATGTAAAAGGAGAACAACTCACATTCAGAGGGTAAAAACATCTCCGCAAGTGGTCTGGCCAACGAAAAAGTCACTTGTATTTGTTTTTGCAAAATTCAGTATGATGTATGAAGTGTGTTTAGCTTTACAACTGAAGTGCTCACATCACACGCGTACATTCTCTGACCATGGGCTGCAAAAAGCTGACCTCTTATTGACTGCCCCATGTAATTTGTACACCAAATCAGTTTGCACAATATCATTAAATAAGTCTAAAAGAATGCAGCATTTGACAACTATACACCGGGACAAGGACTGAGCAAACAATTTTAGAGAGTTTTCAATCCACATTTTTAGTGACGGTAATGGCATCCTTAGGTAGTATAAAATGGATGGTTGAAATGCTTTGTAGAAGTGAGCTGTGTGAGGCTTCTATCCAAATGCAGCTCATATTGTAACCACTATAGCTCTAATGTTTCTCCTCAACACTGCATTTAGCATTAGACTAGGCATAGAAAGGAAGGTGTGTATTGGACATGGAATCTGACTGGTCTACTCTGACAAAGCATAATTGTTTCTATGACATTATACACTGCCTGTGAAGTCCAGCACCCTAGGACCCCACCAATCTGCTAACTTGTATATGTTCTAACAAGCAAAATCGCAGTGCTTTTGGTTTGGTGAACCCACCAAGATTAGTTGATTTCCAAGCTAAATTTGTGTCAGCTTTCTTCAAATCCAAAGAAAGCCATCAAATGCCAATCTGCTGCACATCAGGCGGCACAATGCTAAGGGTCAGAGAGAGAAAAGACCTTGGTATTGGCCATTAACGAAAGCTGAAGAAGGCTTTCCAGTTTTTGTACTGAAAGTAACAATGTATTTTCAATGACATCATACGTTTGGTGTAAGAAGGATTTTGTTTGAACTGTCTGACCTCTGTGTAATCTTTCCAAATTTGTATGTGTAGATGTGTAGACATCTGCTATCATACAGAAAAAGGGTTCATGACTGTCGAGTGAGCAAACAGCCCCTACACTGGCCTTGTGTCAAGGAAACAAAAGCAGTCAGCCAGGAAAATCCAAGCTGGCTGATCAATCCCCCCCACACCCCCCATATTTCAGAGATCAGTCAACTAAAGTGGCTGTCAAAATTGCGATGGTGACAAAGTGACAAGCTTCAAAGCTGCATAGATTTGCCTTTGCATCCAATTTTAACAATAAGATGTATCCAGGATGTACTTGCAATGCATGGTTGCAACTATGCATTGAATCTCCTTGCCCATTGACTTTTTAGAAAAATCTGGATAAAGAATAAAGACAATGGTGCCCACACACAATGTCATTTTTGACCCCAAATCCTTTGAGCTGTGGGATGTGTATTACTGGTGAACCACACACACAGACACACATCATAGGTAGGACACTGGAGGGCTCAGAAATTATGAGCATAACTATATTGTAGAAGTATGTATGTGGTTATGATAGACAATGCTGTCTAAGGTTTTCTTAGGAGGAAGGTTAGAATTAAATACTTTGTCCAATCACTACTGTTCCCCCTGACAAGCCAATACAGGAGGCATCAAAAGCATGCCACAAACCCCCCTGACCCCCCAGTCCGTCAGTAAGCTAAACATGAATGATCCTCTAAGTTCACTGTTTGTGTTTGGGGACCTGACAGAACAGATGCAGATGCCTGACTGCAATTGCATCATGCCTGCAAAGCTGATCACCATCCATTGTCTATCACCAGCATAACTCTAGTGTCAGCTACCAGTGGCAAAGGCCACATTGCGCATGTTAAAACAAACTATATGGACATGAGTGTAATCCAGTGGACATTTTGGCCAATATAGAGTTCTAAAGGGATATTGACAATGTAGGCAGGATATAAAGGTGGTCATTTATAGTAGCACAGGTGTCACTTGAACACTATAGATTTTAACAGGACATTTTGGCTAATACTGATTTCAAGTACTTTGTGTTTCAAGTGATTGAAGCTGCCCCACTTGCAAACACTATCTTGGTACATTGAAAAACCCCATTAAATCAAAAACGTTGTCTTTTATTAAGAAAATTGTGAATTACATGTTTGTATTATTGTATGGAATGTGACTAAGTCCTTTGAGCAATGGCAGAAAAAAAAACCCAATGTAAACCTTATTTCTTAAGGCATGTAGCAGAATTTAAACTATAGCAACTAATCAGAGATAATCTTTCATTGTTCTGACAACTGTGAGTAAAGGCTGATTTGTTGCAATGCGTAGTTGCACCTTGCTTTTTGCTCTTTTTAAATAAGTCCTTTTATGAAAATTGTAGAACTTTGTGAAATCACTCAAATTATCTTTACTAACCTCTGTTACTGACAGATGATCCATCTCATTATAGAACACATTTTAGCCTGTAGGTTAATGTCACACCGCTAAGAAAACCTACCTGTTCCTCTGTATACATTCCCTAAAATCAAAAACATCAGTACCATCATATTTGGCAACAGGATTCTGTAGTTGCTACAAAGCTGAGTTTTGCTTGTTAAGATTCCTGACTGTTAAAACAGATTAGATTTCCAGCACTATTCAGCAATCATAATGTAGGCTTGTTTTAAGTATTCACCATCCTTTCACATTGAAAGCTTTAGAAATGTTCTAGCTTATATAAGCGTTAAAACATCCAAATGTTACTGGAAATTTTAAAAGAACATTACAAAATTAAAACAGAAAATAAAAAGTGAACAAATCCGAGTTGCCCTGGACATCCTGCCGATCTTAATATATGGAATGGCCCTGTATTTGCCAACAACCCATCCAGACAATAGCAAATCACAGCGATCTCATTGGCTTATCCATCATTGTTTCCACTACTTCCTGGCTGGATCATGAAATGCCGTTTTACCTGAGGTTCCAGTGACGGTCTTATTACTGACCCGTCTTACCAAAACTTTTGAAACGGGTATTTTTGTCCTGGGAAGTTCACTTTTTGTAGGGGGATGTTGTGAAGTTGGGGTGCTGGTGCTACCTGTGTCAGCTGGTTGGCTGGGAGGATGAACTGGCAGATGTTTAATACTTCTGGGTATTTTGGATTCCTTTGCCAGGCTTGTTTTTGTTGGGCATGTGACGGTTACAGGCGAGAGTGCCTTAGAGTGAAGTTGACTTGGTCTCTTCTCCTCCACATGCGCTCTTGCTGTGTTTTCATCTGTTTCTGTATATAGGTCATAGAGAGCATCTCCACTGCAGCTGTCTCTGGATAGAGCCTTCTTGCCGGAACTTTTTGGAGGCTCTTCCTCTAGCCCCGGTGTAGTTGAGTCCCAATAACCCTCATCGCTGTTACGCACAGAATCACGTTGCTCCTTTCCTCGCCCTCTAAGATCCCCTTTGTCACTAGAATGAGTTGCAGTGTGTCTTAGTTTATATGGCTTCACTCCATTCCCATCACATGTACTCTCAGAACTTTTATCCTCCCTTGAGGCCTGTCTACTCACTTTTCCCACCTCTTTGCTGGTGTCTTCAGCTTGGGGTATTATTCCCAAAAATTCTTGCATGTCCTTGTCGTCAACTTGATCCGGACTTGCCATCTCCTCCCCTCCTCCTTGATAAACAATAATGTTTGGGGTCTTTTTGGGTATAGCTTTCTTGCCATTCCCAAGGATAATCCTTGCACAGGTACTGCTGCTGCTGCTGCCTCCTTCATCATCCGGCTCAGCAATAATATCGCCACATCCTGTAAGAGAGTCAAAGCTTTTCAGTGATGTAACATCAGCCAACATCAAACATATACGATCAAAAGATGGTTCAGAGGGTGGATCAACAGCAGAAGGGTCGGGAATGACAATCTCTGGCCCACTATCACACTCAGGTTCAACAACGGAAATAGTGGTTATTGGAAGTTCACCTGTTAGGCTTTCATCCTTCTTATCCTGCAGGGTCTCCACCTCTGGTTCAGGTGGTTGGTGGACACGATCCACTTGTGGGCTACTTGCAGCATTCCCATCTTGAGGTTTGTCAGTGGGGTGTGAAGACGAGGGAGATTCCTTGTTTGCTTTCAACTGATGCTTTTCAGCTGAGTTGTTTACAACCTCACTCTGCTCCTCAATGGGCAAATCATCTGTGACAGTCTCTGCAGGTACTTTAGGCTCACACAGCGGTTTTTGTATCTCCTCTTTAATGCATTCCAAGCTGGCTGTCAAAGAGCCGGACAATATGAGCCCGGGTTGGCTTTCCGTGGCCCCTTCTTTATCTTCTTTGTAATTCTTTTCTTTTCTATTCCATCGCATGCTGTTGAACAGTCCCTTCAGTCCTTTCTTTTGTCTGCTGCCAGCTATCTGCTCCACATTGTCCCCTTTCACATTCTCCAATCTCCCATTCCTTTTCAGCAAAGTGAAGAAGCTGTGGGATTTACCCACCGGGCTGTTGGGTGAGACATCTGTCTTGGTGGCAGTGGTGACAGCCTGGCTGTTTGTGTCAGTGCTTGGTGTATCAGCAGCAGCTTGCTCCTCTTTCTTGCTGCTCTCCAGCACAACATCAGCTAATCCGTCCAGGGTCTTGCTGCGTACCATACCCATTTTGCCTGCGTTCTTACCATCTCCCTTGTTCCTCACCCCAAATATTGATGGCATGGGGCTGCCAGATTTCCTCTTGCCGAATAATTTGAAAGCGGTCTTATTAATCTTTCCTGATGGCTGCTCGACTGCCGGGGACTCGGCACAATCACAATTCAAGTCCATGTTTGCCTTCTCCCTGATCCTGCCTCCTTCCTCCTGCAGACCCCCACAGATGCCTGATGCTGAATTTCTCACTGGCAGCTTCTCTGCTGCTCCTGTTCATCTCCATGGTGACCAGGGAGGAGGAGGAGGGGGGGGTGGATAAGCAGTTTTCGTCAGTAGTGGGGCTAGTGCCAGTTCACTGTCATCCATTCTAAATCAATCTGCAAACTGCAACCCAATACAGGCTCCCCCTTTCCTAAAAGGTTTATGTAACGTGTCCATATATCCACAGCGCACGTTTGGCGGCAGGTATATCCCTGTCAGACGCTATTCAGCTTCGCAGAGCGCTGTTTAGCTGTCTGCCTGCGCCATCTTATTGTAACAATAGATGCAAATGTGGGCTAAAGTAGGGGTGAGATTTTTAGTCAGATGCGGATTTAACCCTTGCAGTGCCAGATTTGCATGTTTTTGGTTATTTTGGGTCTTTTTTTTTTAGAGGGATGGGACATTTTTAACATTGTGCACTATTAGGCTTATTCAATAAAGAAAAAGAAAAAAAACAAGGGCAATAACCTACAGCGGGAAGCCTTTCTTTGTTCTGAGTGCTTTAAACTGACAGAAAGCAAAAGGGCTGATCAGCTGGTAGGGATTACCCTGCTTTGCACATTGCAGCCTGGTTTGGCTGGAGAATTGGAGTGTTTCTGGAAGGTATAAGGTTGTGTGGAGCACACAGCAGCAAGCATGCTGGAATTTTTTTACAGTAATTCAAGAAAAAAAAATATTTTTGAAAAAAGAAGGGACCAATTCTGGATGTAGTATGATTGATATACTTACCATAAGGGTTGACCTTTCAGCTGATGCTGCTCTATGCTTTAGGAGCTGTAATGTGCAGCAACATAATGGATGTTAAATGACTTCATAGCAGGTATGATATCACCCTGCTGCTGAAGGGAGTCTTCCACATTAGGTGCCTTCTGTGTGAAACCTGCTGGGACTTGCATCTTCACTGGCCACCACCTAAGCTGGTCATACATCAGTAGAATTTCCTTCCAAAGTATTCCTTTTTGGGACAATCGTTCATTTTTTTAATGGTAGTTGGTTTATTTAGTGATTTAAAGAATTGAAACAGCAGGGTAAGCATGGCAGTGGCAGCCTGCATCAGGAAAGGAACCCTTTACAGTGGATTCACATCTATGCATCTGCGACAGGGCCGTCTTTAATACTGATTGGACCCTGGGCAAACATTTTCTTGGGGCCCTCCACTTCTATACACCCCCTACCCGCCCCGGCCATGCAATTTCGCCCATGCATATGCCTATACAACAGGGGCGGAGCAACACTATGCAATACCGATTGCACAGTAAACGGAAGAGTGGCGCGGGTGTATCTTTTGCGGGCTCAAGGGTAGGGCCGGTGCAAGGATTATTGTGTACACAGGTGAAGGTGCATATTTCACCCCCTCTCCCCCGGCGCCCTCAGATGACTGTCTTTGCAGCCTTACTCCAGTACTAACTAGCGCGCAGTGTCCCCCATCATATGTACATGGAAAGCATGTAGTGACCCCATCACATACAGACAAGCACCATAGTGACCCCCATCACATACAGACAAGCAGCATGTAGTGACCCCCATCATAAACAGAAAAGCACTATAGTGACCCCTCTCTCTGGACGTTGAGTGTTCCCTAATTCACACATGCAGCAGCCAGTACAGACACGCAGGGCCTCCCCATCAGACACCCACCGTTCCTGCTGCCCTGATTCCGGCTGTAGTCCCCTCACCCATCAGGCTCCCTCTCCCCTATCCAGGTGAAAAGGCCAGTGACCATCGGGGTCCAGGTCATAGCAAAACCGCCTCCTCCAGCGCGCACACATGGCATGGAAGGGGAGGGCATCCACCCAGCTCTTCTCTCCGTGTGACACGTTCTGCGATCATTCAGCGCTCTGCTGTCAGTGCTGAGATGCAGGGCCAGTGGTTGGAGTATTGCAGTACATGACCTGCTCAAGCGGCAGCTGCTGTGGGCCCCACAACAATGACTGGGCCCTGGGCAGCTGCCTTTTGCCCTGTGTTAAAGACAGCCCTGATCTGCAAAATATCCTGCATTTTTTAAATTGTTTTTGGGTAGGTACATTGACATGTGCTGTCATTCCCATCAATAGCCCCCTTAAGAAGCATAGGTGTGAATGGGTCCTCAAAGTGTATCTAAAGCCAAAACATTTTTGGATTCCACAGGACAGCAAGGGATAGGAAATATTACCAGTTAGAGACAGACCATACCCTCAAACAATGCTGATTTCTGCAGGACTGTTGCAGGATTTGAACCTAATCCTGGGGTCCCGTGGACTCACCCCATGTCCCACAGCAGGATGCTGGAATACTAATCCAGATGATCACAAGGAACAAAGGAATCTCCAGCAGATGTCTATCTACTATTTGGGAGAAGGGAGGAAGGAGTAGATAGGAGCAGGGAGGAGGGAAATGACATGCCTTGCTGTGCCTGTGTGTTTGTGGAGACACACACAGCTTACTAGCAAACACAAGGGTGGCTCCATAGGACCCTGATGCTGATCTGTCATTACAACTGGGCGGAACGATCCGTGAGATCACGGATGGCTCCACCCAGCTGTCATTTGTGTGGAGATCGGTCAGCTTCGGACGACCGTTCTCCACGCTTTGGGTGTCACTACGGCCCAGCTGAGCTGCTCGGCTATGCCTTCAGCTCAGCTGAGCTGCTCGGCTGCTGTACGGGCTATTGTGAATAGCCTGTACAGCAGCCCTTTGGCTCGACTGAAGCTACGGCGGGATCCTTTGGCTCTTTAGTGACTAACCCCCATAATGTCCAGACATGTCCAACATGTGCCACCGAGGACCACAGACCCCATACATCTTATTAGTACTTCCCTTCCTCCCCTCAGCCCAGTCCTCCCCTGCTGCCAGCAAGTGGTAATTCTCTCAGCAAAAAAGATTACCAGGGTTAATCACAAAAGGGTGAAGAGTTTGGAGAAGGCTGGAGAAGGGAACAATCTAGGACAACATAGCGGATTTCAAAAAATTCTCCAATTCAGCTCATTTTCCAGTTCAGCTATTTTGTCCTAGATTGTTCACTTCTCCTGCCTTCTCCAAACTCTTCACCATTTTGTGAATAACCCTGTAAGATCTCCTGAGTAGCTTTGCCCGATATGAGATCCCGATATTGTGACATTCCACTATGCAGGGGAAGTAGTGAGCTATTTCCCTGGCTGTCATGCTGATCCAGTAGCGGCAATACTTTCCGAGTCAGTAAATCAGAAAAAGTATGCAAGTTAGGCATTTTTTTATGTAACAAATTCCACCAACAATAAGGCTTCGTTCACACTATGTGATTTGAGATTCCTGCAGCAGGAATCCCAAATGTCCCATTTAGCTGCGGCCACTGTCACCCATTCAAGTTAATGATCGGGTGACAGCGGCCACATCTGTAAACAGCATTCACAGTGAATAGATCATTTTTTTGGGAGGCAGGATTGATGCCACAAATCGCATATTGTGAACGCAGCCTAAAAACAGTTGCATTTATTTGAAGTTTTAACTTCCCCGGACTTTCCTGAGCTATGTGCTTGTTCCAAGTAACTGACAGAATGTATAGTAGACAGAGACAGCCAGGCAACTAGCATGTTCCAATATAGTGTATTGCCTCTGTATTTCACATACACGTTGTCTTTAACTGATCACAGTACAGTTTCTAGTCTACATTTATGGATTGCTACTAATTTGTGTTGTAGTTCTGGATGCCTGCCCAAGCTGGCAATCTGTACCGCCTGGCCTGGCCCTTTGTCTGTTTTAGTCTTTTTTTATGTGATTTAGATGTTTACTTCTCTGACTTTACCTTTGTTTTTCCTACTGGCCACTCTGTATAGTAAACTCTCACTTGGTTTGGTTCTACATTGTTCTGTTGCTAAAATCAAAGTGCCAATAAAAGATTTCCCTGCAAGAGAACAGTAAATACGTACCTCTGCCACTGCCCGTGCCACTGAATGCCCGTGTACTGAAGAGAAATCATCACCAACACTTTCAGTAGTGTTGATCCGCAGGACCATGTTGCACTCAGCGATTGATTCTGCCATCTCCTACGTCACTACAAGGCACAGTATTGTACACAGAGCTGTACTCATTTTTTATGTTGCACGGTATTTGCGCAAATGTTTATCAAACCAGTATTTTTAGGATAAAATGCACAGAAACATATAACACCCAATTTTTTGGTAAAATATAAAAGATGGGGTCATGCCAGGTAAATAGATACCAAACATAACAAGCCTTAAAATTGCTTGCATCCGTGAAACCGCCAAAAAACTACAATACCCCAAATTTCCCATGGGCCAAAGATTTTACTTCTCATCAGTTTAGTGTTACCAGTGATGGATGGCCCTTGAATTATTGCTCTCATTCCGATGTTCGTGGCAATATATAACATGTGTGGCACAATTTTCGTTTTGCACGTAGGCACTCCTGGTGCATGTTTGCATTGTATGTGCGTGCACGTGGGGGCAGAGGTAATACACATCATTAAAAGCCATCTGATTTCTTGTATTTAAACAGTTATCGCCTGCTGTTTAAAATGATACCAAGGACACGGCTGCAGCAACAGCCATGTTCTTGATATAACCACTTCAGGGCAGGACGTTTTTTTACGGTGGGCCGTCCTGAAGCGGTTAAAATATAGAGCAAAGGTTGCGCTGCTGTGTAAGGAGTACGAGTTGAAAACTGCACCAATAGGTGCAGGTAAGTACAGGAGAGGGGGCAAGATTGGGGTAATTCATTCTCCCTAAATTCACCTAGGAAAGTGGAATTACCTTTTAAAGTGTAAGTGAAAGTGGAACTAGACCCTCCAATCCTTTACAGCCAAGGAAGGTGCCATCTTGGCCTCTAGTTAGATTGCAGTTGCCATGGCGCTGCACATGTGATCAGCAATGACACCAGCCATTTGAGCCATTTGAGGTCTTGAAAGTTAGGTTGAGAGGTGAAATAAGCACACTGGCAACCTTGACAGTTAGCATGCCTTAAAGGTAACTGTTTTGGGGGACATTAAGTCAATATTCACACCTAGGTGTTCCATGAATG